TGGCCAAAAGTGACGCGATAACTGGCATGAAAGTTGTGGACTCGAAAGATAGTACGGACAATGAGGACACATTTTGCGAAGACTGTGTATACGGCAAGCACGTGCGACAACCGTTCTCGTCCTCAAATTCGCGGGCTGAACGGCCAGGAGATCTAATGCATTTTGACACGATCGGACCATTGAATGAATCGTTAGGTGGTTCGCGATTCGCAGCTGTATTTACAGATGATTGCAGTGGTATGTACGATCATCGCAGTTCCTATGAAAACAAAGTCCGACGTCGTCGACGCGATGATTAGTGTAATAGCTGATGCAGAAGCGAATGGACACAAAATAAAACGCGTGCGATCGGACAACAGGGGTGAATTTTTGGGCAGTGAAATGAAGGCGGTGTTAACCAAGAAATTTATTAAACAAGAATTGACCACACCGTACTGTCCACAACAGAATGGGCGGGCCGAACGATCCAACAGGACATTAAATGAAATGGTGCGGTGTCAACTTGCAAGCGGAAACCTGCCCCAAGGACTATGGGCGGAAATGATTAGAAACGGGGCTCACATTAGAAATAGAATACCACGTGCCCGTCTCGAAGGGAAAACCCCCTACGAACTCTGGACCGGTCGAAAGCCTGATTTGAGTCATTTGCGTAAAATTGGTAGTACTGCATATGCATTAATTGACGAGTCGAAACGGAGCAAATTTGAAAAGAAGAGCGAACGGCTCATCTTAGTTGGATATGAATTTGAGCAACACGCATATCGTCTTTGGCGGCCAGGTACAAAAGTAATTATTAAGAGTCGTGACGTAAAAATTGTCGAATTACCACCAAAAAGACCGCTTCAATTGTTACCTGAAATCGCTACAAATGAAGAACAATCAACACCAACACGAGCGGCGTACTCGAAACGCGTGGTACATACCTTCAGATGAAAACTCCATCGTAAACAACACCCGATCTAAGACAAAGAAAAGGATGGAAGAAAAAGATGAAATGACCGAAGTTCAATTTGCAGCCCTCCTGACTGAAGGTGAGAAAATGGTGACTAAAACACCTGAAACTCTTGCAGAAGCGTTAGCCACGAATAATTCGAAACAGTGGGAGCTTGCAATGGCTGATGAATTGGAGTCTTTAGCCAAAAATGAAGTTTGGGAATTGGTGGAGCTTCCAGCGAACAGACGATCAATCCAAAATAAATGGATATTCAAGATTAAAACCAACCCGGACGGCAGCATCAATAAATACAAGGCACGGTTGGTCATAAAGGGATGTTCGCAAAAAGCGGGCATCGACTACGCGGAAACGTTTTCACCCGTTGCACGGTTCGAATCAGTGCGTGTATTGTTGGCCATCGCGGCGGCCAAAGATTATGAACTCTTTCAGATTGACGTGAAAACTGCTTTCCTTTATAGTGAGCTAAAAGAGGAAATATATATGGTGCAACCGGACGGTTTTGACGACGGTAGTGGCCGTGTGTGTAAACTAAACAAAAGTTTATACGGACTGAAACAGGCACCGTTAGTGTTTCATGAGAAAATGGACGGAGTGCTAAAGGAATTCGGCATGAACCCTACTCGGTTTGACCGGTGTGTGTACGCGTCTGACAATAACGAACTTTATTTCGCGCTGTACGTGGATGATGGCCTGGTAATCGGTCATTCTGTGGAACGTGTCAACAGTTTCATAAACAAACCAAAATTGAATTTTGAAGTTACCGGTGACGTGGCAAACTGTATGCAAATAGTGCGCGATCGTGGGACAAAAACTCTACACTTAAAGCAAACTGCTGAACATTTGGTGCGAAACCCTGTTCACCATCGACGCACCAAACACATCGACGTCGAGTCCCACTACACACGTGACGCCTATCAACGGGGAGAGATTGATATCAACCACGTTGGGACAACGGAACAACTGGCGGATATGTTCACGAAACCGCTAAGCCGTGATAAATTTGCCAATAATTTAAAATTGTTGAATTTACATTCAGTTTAAGACTTATTCTCTTAAGTATTATTTTATTTGTGTGTTCTAATTTTTCCTTGTGTTTGTTTATTTAGTTCATCTGACCAGAGCGAGTGGGAGTGTTGCAATATGTCAGAACTAGATACGCTCTGGCGACACTTGTGTGGTTGAAAGTCTGGACCCTTTTGTCTTTGTCGGCGTTTGACGGCAAATCGACGTCCAGATGTCGAGACCTTTTTTTTACTAAGTTAGTTTTCACATATTGTACATATCTAAGTCAGTTAATAAATACCTTCGCTAGTGTTAACATCGTTGGCCTTTTATTTTTCGCACTTTAAATACGCACATAAATTAACAGTAATTAGCAATAAATGTTTTTTGAGACTGTAGAATTTTGTATCGCGATTATTAATACTTTAGGTTACAATGATCCTCTAGACCAGTGTGACTACATCAGCAGTATACAACATTTTTTATAGGTTGGGTAGGTTGCTAACACGTTTTTATTTCTACATTAATAATAATTTAACAAGCACAACGTAATCGGAAGAACAACAAAATAGGACTAATAATTATCATTTCAGGAGGTGATACTGTTAATTTGACTCAGTAATGAACTAATGACTAATGATCATGAAGAGCCCACTGCTTGATACACCTGGTATGACTGTGATAAGTTTGTCAGTTCGCGGGACGGTAACAGTTTAATGTGGTTGTGAAGTGTTTTTCGAAAAATTGTTGCAAAAATAGTGTGTAAAATGTAAAAGTGGAACTTATACCATGTTGTATAAACTACGAAAACTTTCAAAGGGTAATTAACACATATCTTTCAAGAATCACTTGTCCACGCGAAATCCTAGAAAGAGCAGAGAAATTTTTAATAATTAATTATACGTATCTTGGATTGCACAACTGCAATCACAGTGTATAATCTGTTTAATCTTCAAGGTCTGTCGTGCCTTTTACTCCTTTTGCATGTGTAAAATTTCTGTGTTTAAAATGGTCTCCACAAATTTTAGTGATGTAGATGTGCCAGATCGATAAATTTGTAGTTATTCTGAGATCCTTTTGTTACATAGAGCTGAGAGTAACAACTGTCAATTAAAGAAAATGTATACATCTATTTACAGATAGTTTATCATCTGAGGAACACTAATGTTTTTACACAAGAGGTTGTATCGTAAATGCTATCTGTGCAGGGAATACATGAAACCAAGATAAAATCTATTTAAGCGTTATTGATATTGAAGGCAATTTTTTAAAGTTTTTTGTTTTTAACTTATACACTTCTTGAGTTGTAAAAGTCATTTTAAATCTGTTGTAAGTTATGTTAGTGATAATAAATACTAGGAATACGAAAACGTGAGATATGTATAAATGAAAAAAATCAACTAGTCAGTTAGTAAATTGTAATTAAGTCATAAGGAACTACAAAATATGTTGAATAAAAGCCCATTCGTGACAGTTTACAATTCTTAACAAAATTATTGTTACGTATAAATATGTATGTAGAATATATTAATATTAGTTTACATTCGGGACACAAAAACATGTAAAATTGTCTTAGGAAAAATTTTCAATTTTTATCATTTCTTCAATACAATAGAATAAATAATATAAAAAAAAATCATCGAAATGAGAAAAATTCCCTTAAAATCACCTATTTTGGCATTCTAGAAGCGTCTTAACACATGAAAAAATATACCTAGTATAGTTTTGGAAATTTCATTCTACCCTATAAAATTTTATTGACGATAACGAGACGGACAGTTAATAATGTGAACTTCAGTGCCTAAATTAAGGAAAATTTCCAACTGCACAATCGCCTTTAATATCCCCCTTCTGTCCTCTATACTAAATAACCAGATAAATGATTGATTAAGCGATCAAACCATATGTCCCCCATTTTTTCCGATTTTGTGAACAATTCGAATTGTATATTGTTCACATAATCAAATGTCTACTAGAAGTGTACATGAGTTTTTATTAAAGTAAATTAGATTCCCCCAGAGCCATAGAATCAGTTTTGTCAATAATTGGGTAATCAAACATTTTCTACCACATTCTTATTATAACATACTACGATTTCTACCAAAACCTCTTTTCAATTTTGCTCTTTGATCTTCTACATGGTCAATGAGTAGCTCCAGTCCATCAATCTTCCCTTCTTCCACCATTTTGTCCTCTGGACCTAATTTATGTGTAAAATGGATTTCCCATTCATAAAGCCTATTCGTCGATCGATTCAGTGGTAGTAATGGACACTTTTGAGTTGGAAATAATGTTGATTTGACAAAATTCGTTGAGGATTTTTATGTTTCTTCCGTTATTTCCACAGAATGCGGACATGAAAGTTTCACTAGTTCATCCATTATAATTAATAATTATTAATGATAGCTGCAGGAAAGCTCTATTACATTTTTACTCGACAGGTGTACTTTACTATTTTACTGGTTACATAAATAACTACAAGAAGCAAGGGACTCAATATTTACTCTTGGACTACTCCAGCGTCTGGTGGACATGGTTTGGGTTTGAAACAGTTTAATGCCACGTACATAAAGCGATCATTTAAATATAATTTTATTAACCATCTGAAAATTCAAAAAGTTCCAATTTCTACTAAGTTTACTAATTAACTCCACCAAATACGTACAGAGGGGTTTGATAAGAGGGGTTTGATACTTTGCTTTAGATGTCAAAAAAATCATTTCTGGGTATTACGGTAACAATAGCTGGATTTTGTTTGGGGTGATCTAGATGATGAACTTCCTAAATCATTCAGATCTTCTCAAATAAAATGTTATTTTTTCAATTTTTGTAGTCTACTGTTGTTCCTTGATCGCATCAAGATTCGTGCTCGTCGGATCATTACCGGGAGGGTTTACAATGGCTCGTTTAAATGGTGTTTTTTCCGTAGGTTTTATTGGTTCAGTGGAAAATTTTACTTTAAGTTCTTCGTTAACTCGAAAATGAAGAAAAAAGTTGTTAAAGTATTTATTAAAAAAATTATATTAAATTATTACAAGCAACTTCGAAGACATGAATGGGCATTTAAAATGCAGGTACTGCAACTTAATTAAACATATATTTAGACGTTTATTGCAGAACCAAGAAGCAATTTTGTCCTTTCTAGGATTAAGTATACATGATTACAAAATTTTAACAGGTGTATCAATATTTAATAATATCATATACATTAATTTTACCTACAAGCTAATCCTATTCTTCCAATATTAAATACTTCATGAATCTCAGCCAGATCTGCAAATTTGCTGTCACAGTTTAAACAATACTTAAAAGATGGAATGAGTGAGTGGCGGAGTTTCAATAGTTACTTTACAACTTTGTTGATCAAAATCAGAGCCAACAATACAGAACATTCATAAAAAATATATAATATAACTTGTATGCTTGATGAACAAATGAGAACCGTTTGTATGAAAAATTATGTGCAGGTGGCAGACCTGCCGCGTTAGCAGTGCCATTGTGTCCTGGATTGTGAGGCAAATTGGCAAAAGCACCTGCCACCCGGTAACGTAGGATAAAGCCAATTCTTGCAAGCAGCTTTGGGATTCAAATTTCGTTCTCGGACTTGCTCCTCCAGCGTCATGGTGACCTCTACGACGATATTTAAAGTACCGAGCTTCGTTTGGGGTTGTCCGTTTTTAGGTGCGCCATGCACATCCTTGCCAGCTCTTTTAAAACTTTATTAATAACACGAATTCGTATCCTCTCTGTCGCGTTATTCGTTTGTCTCCTCTTCGTCTTTCTTTGTGCTTTAATATCTGGATCTAGTTCAGTAGTTGAGGTACAGAACTATTATTCACACCGGCCGACTGTGAATGTGGAGTCGCGTGATTTGCCAGTGATGAGGTCGAACTATAACTACTCTTACTAGCTTGCACTGGGATTGGATAAATTGTCCCTAACACCGGACTTACGACGTATGCCATTCCGTTATCCAAGTAACCGTACGCGGTATGAAAGCCTGGTTTCTCTAGAATAAATAAAAAATCGCCTGTTATGGACATTTACATATTATAAACATTTCATTCAGAAATCTAACCGATTCATATAGTAAGCCCTAAGCTGTGTTTTTCGTTATGCCAGACATTTTTGGGAGGTTTTAATGATTTTTTTTAACATATATTATAAAGCTAAAGAGTTTGTTTGGTTGACCGCGCTAATCTCAGAAACTACTGGTTCAAATTCAAAAAATATTTTTGTGTTGGATAGTCTATTTATCGTATCTACATATAGGCTATATAACATCACGCTACAATCAATAGCAGCGAAGTAGCAATAAAAAAATCGGAAAAACGGGAAAATTATTCCTCCCTTGACAGCTTCCGTTGTTTAGGCTGCTTAAACGGTTAAAGTTACGTAAAAATCATGTGTGATGAAATTGTTCCCCTCTAAACGTTCTAAAGAAAAGTCCCGGACAGCATATCTCTATCTTTTAAGGTCGACTCAATATAACCTTTTTATAGTAATGAAATTTGTTCTAAAATAATAATGCATCTATATAAATAAAAATCAATCGCCGAAATGTATGTACGCCCATAATTTCAGTACGACTGCACCGAATTGGATGATTCTTTTTTTTATGTGTTCCATATTGTCAGGACAATGAAATAAAATTTTTAAAAAATGAGACAGCTAAAAGATAAAAAATTTTAAAAATTTTGTATGGGAATCGCCACTTCGAATTAATTTGAATAGTTGGCGTTCCTGACGGACCTGTCGTCTAACTGATGTGTCATACAAAACTATTTCTTCCGTGCGATTGTGAAAAGTATTATTGCATTTCAAATCGTTCTTTGTTTATTTTAAGAAAAGTGTTCGTTAAAATGAATTTAGTTACGCATTGCGAAAATTTCTTATTAATTTTGATCTGCCATTCTATTTACGTATATTCTCTTTGTTGGTTTCGACAAAACCTCAAACTTTACCGTTATTCGAGGATTTAATTTGAACTTTTTCAATATTTTAAAATTCTTAAGTCAAAATTTACAGATTTGATTGACTGTGAAAATAATTCTGTGTCGTTTATGAAGTTCATTTCAATGCCGAGAAGACGACAAGCTGACATGGGTCCACGAAGTCAATCAAATGTGCGACGAACTACTTCAGGTGCAAACCGCAATGATTGATTTCATGGGTAATTCGGATATGGAAGTTGATCAGCGTTGTGCTCATAATCAACATAATCAAACCTTGAAGCGAGACATTGGGTGATATGAATAAAACTGAGTAGATACTCATATTCGAAGTACGAAGTACTTACTTCATTATTACTCTTATATACCTGAGCATCTACTCTATGTACTGAGTACCCACTTGGAAACATTGTAACTCCCCGGACACAAATTGAACATCTACGCGTTTTGTGAGCATTTAATCTAAAAATGAGCATCGGCGTGGCAAATTACTGAGCTGTCTGTAAAGCAGTTTAGAAAACGAGTAGCATCGTTGTAAGAGTGAATTTTGACTAAAAATGGCGACTTTCATGAACGTGGAACGTCGTCAAAAGGTGCATTCAGTTTGAAAAACACATTAGGAGCGGCAGTATCGAAAACTTTTCAGGTAATTAACTTTTATTTATGCATAAATTGTGCAGTGCGTTCTTTCTAACACTGGCCATAGAGATTCCCATCTCTAGGTGTCTACCCCATACTAACTTATATTTTGGTGACTCGATTTTTGCCTTGATGGTTGAACACTGTCACTGTTTTCCTTTTTTGTTGTATCGAGATGCTACTTGAGCATCAACTGTTACCTACTGAAGTATTAGCATCATCTAGAAAAACTAGAAAGATTTTGATTTGATATTCGAGTAGATACTTCGTATTTCGAGTATGAGCATCTACTGAGTTTTATTTATATCAACCATTGTCAAAAAATTGATCGAACGTTGTTTCGACAGAACTTCCTTCGCACCAAAAGTATAATGAAACATATTCAGCATTTTCGAGTTGAGTCTTTTCTTAACACAATTTTGTGATGACCTAATCAAGATTTACGATCAACACGTATACCACCTTGGATTGGTGCAGTGTAATACTAAAAATAACTGTATTGTATTCTCAAAATTATCTGCGAAAATCGAGTGAGCCGTTCCATCAATTTTGTGGGGAGAATAAATAAATATTCGTAATAATTTTCCATTGTTTACAATAACTTAAAAATGTCTGCAATATCTCAAAGTATTCATTTCTCCAACTCTTGAGTTATTCAATAAAATAAATTGACTGATCCATACATTTTTTTGTCACTGGAAAAGCAAATCTAAAAAATATGAATGCAATCATAAATTACGAATATATACTGATGAAGTTTTTGGGCTTGATAAACAGATATATTTTGATTAAAAATTTACCATGCCATATAGTAACTTCAAAGCGTCTGCAATATTTCAAAATTCAGTTTTGCAATTCTTGATTCAATCAATAAAATAAATTGACTCAGCGATTAATTTTTTTGAGGCACCCCCTATAAGCAAAACTAAAAAATATGAATGGAATGATAAATCACGAGTATAGTCTCATCCTATTTTGGACATTTTAGATAGGCTTCATTTGGCAAAATTTTGGGCTGAAGTCATCAATTCTTTGGAGGGGATAAGTAAATATATTTTGAATAAAAATTTATTATGCTTATCATATGTTTAAAACATCTGCAAGATTTCCAAGCATTCAGTTTTGCAGATTCAAAATTAAATTGTAGGTGAAACGAAGTTCACGGGGTCAGCTAGTTAATGTATAATCAGTGAGTAGAATGATCTAATGGTATGTAACATTGTACTTTGTACAGCTGTCGAAAATAGTAATTATTTCATGTCGATATTTAATTGTCATAGTAGGAATTTTTAGTAGTGGATCTAGTACTGCGAGAGTGACACTATACACTTTCAATCAGAGTTCTTTAGAAAAGTAAACGACTTGGCTTAACGTACGTCATGTTATTTTAAATATTTTTCTTATTTTGCTGTTGAGTATTACTGGTTGCCTAAAAATAAATTGGAAATAAATTTTAACTTTCGTAGAATGTTTAAAACAAACTTTATTTAAATTTACAAAAATTGTTCAAAATATCCTCTATCATATTTTAAACAAAGTCGAACTCTTCATATTTTTAAAAACATTAATAAAAAATCGAAGTGATATAACTTGCCTACTACTCACCGCGTTATATTCAGCTACAATTCTTTCTCGCCCATCATCGCTTAGCATAACTAGAGTCTCCCGTCAGAGCTGCACCACTAATAACACTCTCCAAACTCTCTTCTAAAGATGGTCTTGTATGAACTGTAGAAAAATAACTAACAAATTGGTTTAAAAATTATTAATTATGACTTACCGTTACATCTCCGATGGTCCAAAATATTGTCATTTTTTGAGAGTGTGTTTCTTCATCTAATAAATTATCCGCTTAAAATGTTGATACATGTCAAGGTAAGCTTTACAATCGTCCAGTCAATTAAATCGGGTCCTAAATCAGTGCCATCTTCTGTCTTTTCCTCTTCCCGTCCTTTCAGGCAAGCTGGCTTGGAATTCAGGTTTCGTTCTCGGACCTTGTCCGTTTTTAGGTGCGCCTTGCACATCCTTAATATATCTTCTCGACCTCTTATCGTCATCGGTGGAAGTCCGCTAATTGAATTTGGCTGTACAATTGTCTTTACTGAACTCGAGGGTATCGTGCCACTGTCTGGAGGCTCTTCGCGTTTTTTCGTGTTATATATTGCCCGCTCCACCTTGACCGTGCCCGGAAAACACGTCGTCGTATACCCATAATAAATTGTACTGGTACTAGCTTGTTCTGCGATTGGATAAATGGTCCCTGATACCTTATTATTAATGCTGTCTGTATGATTTATGGGTCTGAACGCCGAATTGTTCGTTCTCGAGATGGCGGCGACGGCAGTATCGTTTGGCTTTAGGGAGGACATGGGTGGCAAGCTTTGACCGTATAATACCGTACACATCGTAGACCTGGTACGTCGTCGAGGTGCCATACGTTGGGTACCAACGTAGTAGCCTGTGGTAAAGATTGGGCGAGGTGCAGCTGGGATACTTATTGAATTCGTGCGAACCATACCACTGGTTGTTCTCTATAGAGTTTCCCGTCTGCGGCCGTTCTTCCTTCGTCGGCCTGAACCCGGCCTTGGGCTTCGCGGGCGATAACTAGTTCCCTGGTCTCGCCCCAAAGGGAAAATAGGGGCTGTCTGCCGGACCAGCCGGACTTATGGCGTATGTCATTTCGTTATCCAAGGAATCGTACGCGGGGTCAAAGCCTGGTTTCTCTAGAATAAATCAAAAATCGATTCTGAGCTGCACCATTAATAACAGTCCCCAATGTCTCTAAAGATGGTCTTGTAAAAACTGTAGAAAAAAAAACTAACAAATCGGTTTAAAAATTATTAATTATCACTTACCGTTACATTTCGGATGATCTCAAAATATTGTAATTTTTTAAAGTGTGTTTCTTCCTCTAATAAATCATTCGCTTTAAAAGTTTAGGTATACATAAGGTTAACTTTACAATCGTCTAATCGGGCCCTAAATTAGTACCAGCCTTGAAAGTCAGGGTTCGTTTTCGGACCTACTGTTTGAGTCTTGTCCGTTTTCAGGTCCGCCATGCACATCCTTAATATATCCTTAATATAGTTGAATTTGGCTATGCAATGGTTTCTACTGAACTCGAGGGTTTCGTGTCACTGACTGTGTCCGTGTTCGTTCCACCTTGACCATACCGAAAGTATGTATGTATTGTCAGCTTTCGTTTCCTAAATGTAAATTTATTTCCAGCGGAGCAACGCGGAAAACGGTGGTTGGTGTATTTGTGCAGTGTTACATTTTGTGGTTTTTCAATTTGTAAAACATCGTGCGCTAATGTGTACGAAGCAAGTGCAACGTGGACAGCGTAGATCGCGCACGATAACCGTGGTTTTATGACTACTTTTTTCAAACCAAATACACGGAGTTTTAAATTATCCCTCATGTCTTCTGTTTTCTGTTCTTTTGTCGTAAGTATTTCCGAAACAAAAAGTAGCACTGCGATATGTAGATTTATATATACGTACAAAAATTTTGACAATTCTTATGACATGATTTGAATTTTGGCTATGCCTTGATTTTCTAATGTTATTTACAAATTATTTTTAACTATGTTTCTGGTTCACTAAAGAACTTAGTTAAACTAGTTTTAATCATTAATATTTCGTACTTAAAGTAAAAGGTCGAAATAAATCCCACCAAGCATGTTACTTGTACTTGCCACGTAACATAAAAGAACCAGCGTTCTCGTACGGATATTTCTTGTGACGGTCGACTTTTCGGTAAACAATTTATCGCTAGGAGAAACAGCACAATTGCACAGAGCAATAAGTATAATTTGCACGATGCAGGCCTGGAAACAAATGAAATAAATATCAGTGAAAAAGTCAATAGTGTAGCGACGAGGCGTTAGTCGAGTTAAAATTACTACATAAAAATGATTGCACAACAAACAAAGGTGTACAATAAAAAATATGATTTGTCGTATATTTATAAGAGGGTAATTATTTTCGGAGGCTAAAGTATTATTATTAGTATTATTATTACCTTACATGCAGGCGAGTTAACAGATAATGGATATTTACGTGCGTTTTGCTGCTTATGGCAGCAGGATGGTGCTACTGCTCATACAACAGGAGCTATAAGAGATTTTTGGGCTGAAATTTATGACAATAGGATTATTAGTCGCAATACACCAAGCAACTCGCCGTCTAGATTGCGACTTCTTGTAGCCATGTATAAAAAAATTGAATTCATGCAGTACCCTTAAATGTCGTGGAAGATTTGCGGAATCGAATAACACACATAAAACTACTGACAATAATAACAATGCAAGTGTTTTGGAAAATGTGTCCAATGCAATAAAGTGAAGGACTAGGTTGTGTTTACAAGAAGGGGGTTCCCACTATCCCACTTCCAGGATTTTGTTGTAATTTAATGTTAAAATTGTTTAATAATAACTGAAAACAGAATATTCGACTGACTTATGCAGAATATTTTCGTATTGCTGTTACAGAAAATTCTAATAAAGTGATGTATTCTTATGCTCCCTTTTACTTTCTGAAGAAACAAAAAATTGCCTGGGGGAACTGTTATTATGAAGGTATCCTTCTATAAGCATTATGATTTTGATTACTTCCATTTACTGGTTAATTTCAAAACTTGTCACCGTCACTTAACTTTTAAAAATAAATGAATTTTAAAGCAGTTCTAGCTAAAGAAAATTTTTCAAAGGTTCCAAGATGGTGTTCTTTCTCGTAATTTTATTTCAATAATCTGCGTTAAACCAATTTTCACTGCATTAAGACAACGTTTTCTAACTTAATATTATTTTGTTGTTAAATGTTAATTTCCAAAAATCGTCAATTTTTAACGTGACTCTTTTCACACTGCAAAAAGACAGTAAAAAATTGAGAATTGAATTTATACTGCCTACTCTGAATATATAAAATAAAAAATGCATACCTGCAGGTGTTTTCCTGTGCTTGATTATCAACTTCTTCCACTGGTTTTGACGGCGACTCGTCTCTTTCCTGATGGCCGATTTCGCAAGCAAAAACCTCGAGGTCTCTTTTTGTAGCTTTCTGTGTTTTTTCAGTTTTGTCACATGTTTGTTTTCGATTTTTTGTGACTTGTTTTTCACCACAGGACCGCACTACTCCACGGATACATGTTTGAAGAACAATCTAAAAAATATACTTTATTAAAACACGATACCGAAACAAGAAAAAAATTACCTCTTCTGTACTGATGTCTGTTAAAGTGATAAAAAAACTATTTTCTACGTTGCAGTCTTCGGCAACCGGATTCACACATCTGATGTACACTTGAGTGCTCGAGCGCGCCTTGATTACCGGCAAGCCCTTCTTTTCTATTTTAAATTTTGACTCGATATTTGTATACACTGTAAAGCAAAAATATCAGTTGGCGATGAACAAATCTTCTAAAAGCATATTTACCGTCATATTTCAGGGCAACAGGGTATGGATTGAATAGTGTTATTTTTTCGCAATGCGTATTTTCGTCTTCCAAAATAACAATTATTTCTGGCGGAGAAACATTAAGCGTAGCATTGCGGCGGAACATTTTTACAATTTTAGTATTCAAGCTATCTAAGGTAGGTGTTCACAAGTCAAATGCGAGTTAGCGACTACTAGCTGTGTATTATTTGTATGTACCCCTTCTCTCCAGGGCCGTTATAATGCAAACTTCATCTTCAACTTCAGCAGGTAGAAAGTTAAAATACCGGAGGATAATGGGGCGGTCTAAGTATAGTGGACGTCAGCAATAAGCTCTTCAGAATTACGACACAGCCCTAAATTCCTGCTTGCCAGAAAACAACAATGGTCCTTTGAATGAGCCGTGCATGAAAACCTTTTACCGAGTTTCAGACAAACAACCCAAAAGCAGGTAAAGTCTAATACGTACTTTTGGGAATAGAAAGTCAATGCTCGCTGTTTGGCAGACTTTACATTTAAATTTTAGGTGTTGAATAAGCACTAGTTTGCAATAAATTTTGGAGTAATTGTTTAGCAGTTGGAAATATCGTTTATGGCGATAACCAATCAGTGCACTCAATTACAACTTATCATGTAACTTATGATCTTACACAGCATGGAAGAAGTAAATTTTCAAAATACGACGAAACTTTCAATAGCCATATGCATATCAGGCTCGACTGGTCGATTGAATACAGTGGTACGAATGAACAGATTAGATTTTTTTCTGTCATCGTGTTCACGAATATGTTTGGATAATAGAATATAATAAGGTTCCCAGAAAACTTATATAAAATATGGTATAGATGGTTAAAAGTTAACCAAAATTTGCTAATCATCCTTACCAACAATGTGGTTTTACATTTTATTGTAAGCAAATAAATCGTTAGTCAAAATGTTTTCGTGTATGTCCCCCCCCCTCAAAATGATGACGTCATTTTACAATGTTGCCGAATAAATGTTCTGTAAATTTTATAAAATAACATGTGTGATTTATATATTTGTGCTGAGCTTTTACTTAGATTTTCAGTTTTTTGTGAAAAAAAATCAAAATTGTATAGCAACATTTTACAATTTAACTTTGAAATTGTAAAACCACACGCTCTGAAACCTCGCAAACGATTTAAGTTTATGGGTACATGATAAATTGTTAATCAAAATTTATTCTTCAATGGCCTTCACAAAAATGATGACGTCATCCTCCAATTTTGTCATTAACGCTACTTATCCATTTTGAAAAAAAAAAAAACGTGTATGCTTAATTAATTAGTCTAAATATCCGGCTTTTTAAGAAAAAAATCAAAATTGTATAACAAGATTTTACAATTTAACTTTGAAATTGCAAAACCGATAGCTTTATTTACATATTTTTTGATTATGGTAAGCATGGTAAATCGTTAATAAAAAATTCAAATTGTATTTTACAACTTGACTTTAAAATGGCAAAAGCGAACGTATTGAACTATTCCAAACGTTTTATGGTTATAGGAAAAATCGATAATCAAAATTTGTTCGATTAAAGTCTTCCCAAAAAATTATCTTAGAATTCTACTGAACAAATGTTCTTTAGGGGCAATTCTGAATCAAAGTTGTTAAATTTAAAGGGTGTTAAATTGCAAACTTCCATAGTAACGAGTTAAATTCGTAAATCTGATTGGCTGTTTATTTTTTAACAACCTTTAAATTTTAATGGGTTTGATTCAGAATTGGGCCTTTTAAATTTTATAAAATAACATACTCCTGCATGTGTGATCTATGAATCCTTGTTGACTTTTTACCCTTTTCATCCCGATTTTTGGAAAAGGAATCAACAATGTATAAGAATATTTTTTAATTTAACTTTGAAATTGCAAAAACCTAATACTATGAAATCATAAACATACTTTAAGATTGTTTTGTGTAGTTTCCTATGCGTTGAGGACATAAATTCAACCAAATTTCATTTTCTTTTAACCACTGATGCTTGTAGTCTGAACGTACTAAAAGTCGAATTCGCTCGACGTATAAACATAAACAGTCGAAGTTAAGTATACACTAAGAAATTGAGAATGTTTATATTTTTTTCCAGTTGGTTATATATTCTTTAATTAAATATATTTCATATTTAAAGACGCAGGAGTTGCGGGGATGTTAATTACGCTACTTTACAGAGGTTAATAATTGTTACGAAACAAAAATCGCAAAATCTAATTTTATAATTTTTGAAAGAAGCGAAATTTGTCGTATTTTCAAAACGCCAATGTGGCCGGCATAACTGAAAATAATAATAGCAATTATACGGCAATACCCAAAGAACATCTGTATACAATACCACAGGGCCCCACTTTGGAAATTTCCCGGTGGACCCTCATGTCCTCAATCCGACACTGTCTCTGAACGATTAAAAAATATAGAGTATTTTTAATATATCTATTTCTATTTTTCTTGTATTTTGTATTCAGTTATACGCATTTGCATCGTTTTTTCAATAACTTTCTTTTCCAGAGAGAATAGTAAGTATTTGCAAAGATGCCTTTCTGTTTTGAGCAAAAGTTTCTTACAAAATGGTTTCAACATTCCACTTTCTCTACTGTAATGTTGTTATATTGACACGATTCAGTGTTTTTACTTCCCGAGCGTAAGCAAAGGAAGTATTGTAATCGAGTCCATCGGCCGACTCTCTACTTTTACATTTTCTCGATCTTTCATAACCCCTAGAAAATGAAGAAATAGGTCTCACGTTCCCGTAAGTCTCTCTGTCCGTCTGTCTGTCTGTCTGTCTGTCTGCCGTCCCGGATTTTTATTATACAGATCATCTCCGAAAGTACTGGGCCGATTGTTGTCAAATTTTGCATTTATATTTGGTCTATCATGTAGATGGTAAAACGCTTACCAAAATTTGTCTAATCATCACCACCAATAATGTGATGACGTCACTTCAAAATTGTACATAGTAATTGGGTTTTAAATTGTATCAAATAACATAGTCTTACACATGTAGTCTATGATTCCGAATTGAGATTTGACCTAAAACGTCCAATTTTTAGAAAAAAAATCAAAATTAGGAAACAACATTTTGACATTTAATTTGGAATCTGCAAAACTGAATGCTTTGAAATCTTGCAGATGGTTTACAGTTATGCTAAGCATCATAAGTTTTTTATTCAAAATATATTTACTTGTCCCCTCCACAAAATTGATGATGTCACCTCAAAATTTTGCAAAATATGATGAGACAATACTTGTGATCTATCATTCCATTCATATTTTTTGGATTTGGATATACAGGGTGACTCAAAAATTGAATGCATGCGTAAATTTATTTTATTGATTTAATCAGGAACTACAAAACCAAATGCTTTGAAATCTTTGTTTTAAAGTTGTCATAGGCATGGTAAATTTTTGATCAAAATATATTTGCTTATCGCCCCCTAAAAAATTGATCACGCCACCCTAAAACTTTTCCGAGAAAATGCTTAAATGCGCATTGTGCAAAGTATGATGAGTCTATAATTGTGATTTATCACTGAATAAAGATTTTTTAAGTTTACAGTTTACATATTCCTAAAGTACTTACAAAATTTAACAAAAATCGGTCCAGCATTTTCTGTCTAATAAATATCGACACAGACATACAGATTGAAATAGGAGACGTGTTTTTTCGTATTCTAGGGGTCGTATATAGTATATATGTTGTACATGCATAGTATATTATATGTTATTGTTGTTACTGTTCAAGGTGTTAAATTTTTAATAAAATAATAAAAATAATATTCAATATTTTCGTTCCTTTGTGTTGTAGTATAGTTTTGGCAATTTCATTCTACCCCATAAAATTTTATTGACGATAACGAGACGGACAGTAGTATATTTATATTATTTATCTCAGGCGTCCTTTGTTCCTTTTTTTAATAAGAGTATAACTTCTTTTGTGATAAATTAGTCAAAATAGAGTACATTTTGACATGATGCATTTAAAATAATGTCTTTGCTGGCATAAAAATTTTTATTTTAAAAACGTCAATTCAAACATGAATTTTGTAATTATTAAATGTTTTCAAATATGTTATACCTATCTATTTGTGTTTCTTTTGACGTTTAACAGCGCAAGTGTTTAGAAGTAATTATTTATTATTATTATTTAATTATCATGAAATAATCTATTCGGTTGCCAGAAACTTCGGAGACACAGACCAGATCAAATAAAATTTACTTGGCCAGAATCCGAAAGCTGGAATCGGCAGCAGGCAACATTGTAAATTATCTTAATACGACATTCAAGGTAGGTGCTTACCTACTGACAGCTTGTTAGACCCAAACGGATTTTACCGTTACTTTTGCTGGGGACTTCCAATATTTCATTGTGTCCGCACTTGTGTAGACAGAGGCCCCTCGGAATTTGTCCAGGGGCGGCTCATGAGTTGATAAGTTAATGAGGCAAGACACAAGATGATACAATTTCTAAATCTCGAAAAAATTATATAATCGTGTTTGCGTTTTTGGGACTTCACATGGAAATGTTTAAGCAATAAATGAATTTATAGAAATATTAGGCAACAAAAATGTGTAATTTTTCTATACTAGAAAATCTAATTTGTATATGATTAATCATAATATCAAAAATTTCGTAAAAGATTTGCCTTAATTTCTGTTGTTTTTCATTAATCACCTTCTTTACAACATTTCGACGGTAAAATATTAGTATTAAGTTTTCCATAAATTTTATTAAAAAATGATTACAGTGTCTAAATTCGGGTAATTTACCTAAGGTTGTTGGTAATAAATTCTTGACTCTGAGAATTTGTGTGAACGAACTTACTTCGCAAAAATACAGTGTGAGTCTGTAGAACAATGAATGCGAAAGTTTCTAGAAAAAATATAATTTGCAATAAATTACCCGTATTCCTGATTACACAATTTAAATGATGACGACCAGCAAAGCAAATGTAGAATCGTTTAATACAAAAATTCTTTTATTGCAATTTTGAATAAACGATGCACGCACAGATTTATGTTTTTTAATAATAATATTAATACGTTTTACTGTTTTTCTGATTATATAGTTTTGTCATAAACAAGCTTGATCACTTGATCAGTAATCTTAACTGAACATATGGATATATACCAAAATAGTTTTTTTGACATTTATTTAGATAAAGATAGATGAAGATACAATAATAAAAAGGTGGAAGGAGTAGGGGAACTAGGGGCTTGTTGTAACAGGGGTAAGTTGTAACACTAAATTTTTACCCGGAATTTAAACTCTTTAACGTCAGGATTTTTACTGAATTTAATTCTTGTACATACCATAAGACATCATGTCATCACAACCACTGTTCCTTCAGCCAGCGCAGTGAGTGGATGCGTGCACGTGTGTGGTTTTGGCCAAGTAATGTAAAATATTGCTTTAGTAAAATTTGGTTTTTCGTATCAGTTATTAATTAATTTAAAACTTTTAGTTTTGTATGTAATTCAAAAATTACTCAGCTT